GCTGGGAGTGCCTGATTTTTATGTACGTCAACCCACCGTAAATCCTCCCCGCAATATTTTTCCGACGTGAACTTGACCTGGAAACGCTCCCGGGGTGTACGTGTCTCCTGGTTCGGCAAGTGAAGCCAGACTCACCAGCACGTGGACGATGAAACATAATAACGTCTACATAATGGCAGAGGAGAGGTGATGGGGACAAGCGGGTGCATCCGCTGCTGAATCCTAAGGTCTCCAGGTTGTGAAAGTGAAGTGGTCAACGAGGGATGACGTTTTCGATAATTGAAAGCAAAGTTTTTTCATAGGACCTTTCCACTCTCGATGAAGAGTTCCATTCGACTTCTCATTAGGATCTCGACACTTGTCCAGTTCTTCCTCTGTGTGTGCCGTTGGTAGACAATGTCTGACGATGTGAGGTGAGGGATTCGAGTCAATCACGAAAAGAGGGTCGATCGAAAAGTTGTCTAGATGAACCGAAGAAATCGCTCGCCCCCTCGCACTTTCTTCTGTTCTCGTCATTCCATCACATCCCGTCCACGAAGCGAAATGGCTGGGTCCAAGCATTTTCTAGATGACCAGGTGTTTTTCCATCCACGCTTTTTAGTTTCGGTCAACGTTCAAACTCGATCAAGGTCTTCCGGCACAGATAGCGGTCTCAGCTCGAAAGCTTTACAAAGTCATGAGCGGAACCATTTCTGTTGACCACCTTGCCTGGCTACCAACCCGCTAGGACGCTGCTTCTCTCAATTCGACCTTAGTAAAGCCGACTTACTCCACCTGTCACACTATTCCAGCCATCTCGTTCGGTCTTGGACCGTGCTTGCTTGCCTCAGATTGGTTCCTCAACCAGTCTTTACCCACGATAACGTCTAGGTTGATGAACGGGTCCAATTCAGGTCCATGCTACAATCGACTGGGAGGACTGATTGGCAAACGCTTCCAATCAAGTCTTCTCATCGGTTTAAATAGCCGTCCGTTCGTTGTCCATTTTCGGCTTTCTCTTTTTCCCTCGAGCCGGCTCCTACATTAAACTTCAGTCATCACATCTGTCACCCTCACCCTCACTCTCATCACCCCTGCCATTTTCTTCAACTTCAAAAGCCTTGCTTGCTTCTCACCATCTGATCAAAACTTTTTCTATCCCCCTCCTCACGACCACTTTTGGCCTCGTCATTCCCTGCTACTGGTCAACTAACCGTTTTTCCACTCAACCATCCTTCACTTATTTTACCCTCCCTCTTGCTCGTCTTCTCCTCTCCTTTCTCAAGACTACTTGAAGCAAGGTCTCAAGCGAAATGGACTGCAAACCGTCTGTCTCATCTGTCGCGTCGGCCGGGCCCGATTCCGCGCCGTCCTCTGCACCTACCATTCCAGCTAGCATGCAACGAAGACATCCCGCTTCACTCATTCCGCGGTATATGCATGACCCTGTTCTGCTCAGCTTATTAAAGGCGCCTATGAATGATGAGCTCATCGGTAGGTAGATTTAGCATGATTCAATTTATGATTATATCTTTTTCAGCGCTAATTTTTGTTTTCATCGCTTCTTCTTGCTGCTATTGCAGCATACGTTGCTGAGCGTACTTTGGCCGTCGTCGTCACACCGTCAGAGCCGGCCCAGCTGCCCACACCTCCGACAACTCCGGTCAAAGCCAGCTTCCGGCGTTCATTCTCTCGCAAGTTGAAGGAGAATGGGACCGAATCTCAGCCGTCTGAATCTCTCTCCGTTGATGCCGCGACAGACTCCTCAAAGTCGGGTGTCCCCTCTCTCGTTACCTTCATCAAGCTCACCGCTGCCCGCTCTAATGCCCAAGCTCCGACGCTTCTCATGACCCTCGTTTACCTCGACCGTCTTCGCCGACGACTCAAAGGCGCAAAGGCCGCGAAGGGCATGCATTGCACTTATCACCGTCTATTCTTGGCCTGCTTGATCGCTGCCGCGAAATACTGCAACGACTGCTGTCCAAGAAACGTGCACTGGGTCAAGTGGAGCGGGTTGTTCAGTCTGAGCGAAGTGAACCTTATGGTCTGTCCTCGTTTCTATTTATCATATGCGTCTTGTGAATCACTAACTGAACTTTTTACTTGTAATTAGGAACAAGAATTACTCATGCTACTCGATCACGAACTTCGTGTGGAAGAAAAGGACCTTATCTTAATCTGCGCCCCATTCCTACCTGCTTCTTCAGTGGAACGGGTCACCAACATGGACCGCAGTGTGCCATCCCTTGCTTCATGTGCTACCTCTCGAACGTCTTCATCAGTCGGTCCAGTCGAGCTCAACACACCTGAATCTAGCCCGGTGGCCGTTCGTACCGAATCGGTGGCGCCGGCGGTCGTACCCGGTGCCGACCGCAAGAAGGTTAAAATCGTCGAAGCAGCCAGTTCAACATCCACTGTCATCACACGAGCAAAGTCGTGGTACGGAAGCCTTCGTGGCGCAACTAGCTCATAGCATATGTTTGTTGTGGCTTCGGATAGATTAAATACGCCTGTCTCAAACACCTTGATCGCGTCTTCCTCTTGATTTTAAGGCTCTTCTCTCTTTCTCTCTTCGTTCTCTTGATTTACTTTGGGCTTTCGGGTCGTTTTTGTCTCCCTTTTCTCTGCTTGTTTTTCACTTGCGTGAGCTTCGAAAGTGGATCCAGCAAGCATATGGACAAAAAAAGATTATTAGAGCAATTTTGGTGGATACAAATAAGAAGGACGGTCAGTTCGTTATTGCTAGCATTTTAGGGGGTATCATTTGATTTTGTTCGCTCTCTTTCTCTCTCTCTCTCTCTCTCTCCCTCTCGGTTTGAAATGTTGTTTGATTATCAATGGCTTGTATATATGCACTCCCGAGCTCGTTATATTTATTATTTGTATCCGATGTACATTCTTGCACTTGCATTTTCAACTTGAAGCTGAAACAGAAAGCCTTGTGATTCCATCAATCCATTTTTCTTCTGCATCACCTCATCTGTCACTCCTTCTCGGACTTTGTTTCCGAGTCACCTTCATATACTCATGTACGTCTTTGGACCTCTGTTGTCAATACATCTGACGCGTGATTTCTTGATGATGACGATGAGTGACGCTTGCATTCTTCGAGTTGGCTTGACAGGTTTATCGTATGCTCTGGGTTGTGAAAGTTGTCCACTCATTTCTCTTTGCAACTTATGGAGCGAGGACGGGTGGCCGTGTTGTCATGAACATGGTCTGCGGAGATGTTCAAGACCCAATCTGCGATGCCCTTTATCAGCTGTCAGCTATTTTCAGAGCTTGAGCTTCATGTCAATAACCCGCTCGTCTTTAAATTTAGCGTCAAGTATCAAAAACAAAAAGTTCTGGATTGTATTACTGGCCTTTCTTTTTTAAGTAACAATGGTCCCTCACACCCGACCGAGTCAGTAGTTACACACCACTGAGAGAAGGTGAAGCGCATCTTTTAAACGCGGGCTTCTCCTCCCACCCTCCCGCTCATTCGTAAAAAAAACTTTGAGAACTCACCCCCATCAAGCAAACAAGTATAAATAAGTAAAAAGAGAAACGTCCCCGGACAGGATTGAACTGTCAACCTCCTGATGTAATTGCCGCCAGAGTCTATGAATCATAACAGTCAGACGCGCTAACCAATTGCGCCACGGAGACAGCTGAAACATGACGTCATATATCTGGTTTTGGTTTTATTTTCAACGCAATTATTTAAATGACTTATTTATGTTAAATATTCTTTTTTTTTTTTTTTTTTTTT